TCACACGCGCATTTGCTTTGTTTACTCAAGAAACACAAGAAATTAAATTATTATAAGGGTAATGCTATTTTTGAGGGCATAATCATTTGCAGAAACCCGAGGTGTTCCATTAACTGCTCGACGAAGGAGGGCAGTTGAAAAAGACCGAGGGCTTCTGCAAATGATAATGCCCTCAAAAATAGCATTACCGTTATTATTGCTAAAATACATGGAATTTGTGTTGAAAAGAAAAAGGAAACAATGAAGGAATTTGACTGTAAGTTTACCCAAATCAACTTCTGACGGGGTTGACTGCCCGAATGCAATTACGTCATCGAACAATTCAAGTGACGTCACAACAGAAAGTGACGATATTCGACCTTGGCCTTTGACAAGACCATAGCCTGCAACATGCCAAACTATGTCAGTGTTCGGTTTTGCTCCATCAACAACCTTAATAGTGCAATTGTTAAGGTTAGCACCAACAAGAAAGCCAATATTACCGCTATTTAAAGCGGGAATTCGGGTTGCTTTGACTTGTTTGACCCAGAATATCTGCCAGTCGAAAGCCAATAATTATTAATGTCGAATGAACCGTAAGCCAACGCACCCACTATGACGTCACTTGACAACAGAACTGATAGTGGCCCGTCGTTAAGGTTGAGCGGTCCAATATCATTTGCAGCGGCCCGCAAATTTCTGATAATAGGAGGGCCGTTTCATGGTAATATAACGGCAATGCTATTTTTGAGGGAATTATCATTTGCAGAAGACCGAGGTCTTCCATTAACTGCTCGACGAAGGAGGGCAGTTGAAAAAGACCGAGGGCTTCTGCAAATGATAATGCCCTCAAAAATAGCATTACCGTTATTATTGCTAAAATACATGGAATTTGTGTTGAAAAGAAAAAGGAAACAATGTGTGAATTTGACTGAAAGTTTACCCAAATCAACTTCTGACGGGGTTGACTGCCCGAATACAATTACGTCATCGAACAATTCAAGTGACGTCACAACAGAAAGTGACGATTTTCGACATTGGCCTTTGACAAGACCATAGCCTGCAACATGTCAAACTATGTCAGTGTTCGGTTTTTGTCCATCAACAGCCTTAATAGTGCAATTGTTAAGGTTAGCACCAACAAGAAAGCCAATATTACTGCTATTTAAAGCGGGAATTCGGGTTGCTTTGACTTGTTTGATCCAGAATATCTGCCAGTCGAAAGCCAATTAATGTCGAATGAACCGTAAGCCCACGCACCCACTATGACGTCACTTGACAACAGAACTGATAGTGGCCCGTCGTTAAGGTTGAGCGGTCCAATATCATTTGCAGCGGCCCGCAAATTTCTGATAATGGGAGGACCGTTTCATGATAATTCCATGTATTTTAGCAATAATTCCATGTATTTTAGCTATATATTTATAGGTGGTTGCCTTAAACATATATTGTATAAAAAGGGTTTGAACTGGGTTTGGGATTCTCAATCGTTCCCTCGCATACCTTGGTTAATATCCAATTAGAGATAAACCTATGTGTGGAAAATCAGAGGTATATAACGAAATTATAATAGTTCTAAATTTCATTTAAAACCGAACGCGTAGCGTGAGGTTTTAAATGAACAATTTAGAGCTATTATAATTTCGTTATATACCTCTGATTTTCCAACACAGTAGGTTTATCTCCATTCTACCATGACAATTTTATGAACAATTTCAGGTGGAGCTCTTTCTTTGGTTACGAGTCAATACGTGAAGCGGCCTCGCATTCCAATCTCAAGTGGTATCGCCCGAAACGGGGTGTTTGGTGGCAAACCGTCAATGACTAGCAAACTCCAGATTCAGTAATAACAAATCACGTTTTGTTTTAATGCATCAATCACCAATCATTAACTGATAAGTTGGAAAACATATATCAAATAAGTTTAAAAGCTTGGTTCACATTTGAAAATTCCACCGTAGACCCTTTCCCCACCAGAATAGTGGCAGCAACCTCATAGCCTTGACCTTTTCTCGAAGTCATTGTTTACATTTACGTGCAAATTTGGAAAGATGCGACAGGAGAGCCTCTGACAGTTTGCGCAAGGTTAACCTGATTGTATGACTGAGATAGTCTTTGATATCTAATTACTGGTACTGGTACAAAATTTAAGAGTAGGGGCGCTTTTACTGTAACGAGAAGTCCGTGTTGTACCGACTTTAGATACTGTTGAATTTGGTGCCCTGTCAACTTGACGATTTCACGTACCTCTATGTCTGCGTGCGACAGCTGTGGTGACTCTTACACACTCATGTGTGTACTTTGTGCTCAAATTCGATTCTACGGATATTATTTTCTACATTTTGGAAAGTGTTTTGTGACCTAGTGGCTTCAAAGTGTAGTGAATTCAAATTGAATCGGATTCGCTGGCATGTTCGCGAGTCTGTTGACAAAGAGCCAGATTTGTGGTGATATTTCCGAAAGGATGGATCAGGACACGAGGGTGTGCCTCTGGCACAAACACGGTAAGGTAATTAATTATATATTTTTTAATACACTACTTTAGATCAAGCAGTGTAATGGATAAGAGGGATCATGACTAAGCTTAAATAACTTTTCAACGATATTATACATTTAGAAAAAAAATATGTTGGGCTAAACAGAACGGTTTGCAGATTCTGTAGATCTAATTGTGTTTTACTACCGCTAAATTTGAAACAGTACAAATTTCAAAATATCATTTTGTTTGAATTGATAACCCAACTGTTTATTTATGTGGACGGAAGGCATTAAAATTTCTTCGGCGTTCGATGTTAATGCATCCTCCGTTACCGGATCAAGATCAGTGGCGATATCGTTGACGAAAGCTGATAATAAACTTAACACGGAAATTTTGTAGCAGTCTATTGCTGGATCTATTCTGACATAACATAGAATCAACGTAAACATATTTGTTTTGCTGAATTTTTATTCGGAAAGCAGACGATGTTTTGATCTTGTTCGACTGAATATTTGTTTCCATGCTTTCGAAGTACTTTTGTATGTATAAACACCTATTGCTGTGATTTACGCAAGTAGTGAGTCGTGCCCGTCATCGCTAAATCCATCTTTAAAGACATATGTGTAATTTACGACAGTAAAATCGCCGTAATTTATCGATGCATGGAAGGTTGTTTGGTGTCCGCCATGTTAGTGGGCAGACACAAATAGTGCATTACCGTAAACCATGTATGATTGCGCACGGAAAACAGAGACCTGTATAACGTGATTATATACCTCTGAATGACTTTAATTAACCAATCACAATCCAGTGTTTACTGATGCCATGGTAGAATGTTAATTTAATTTTGTTATACCAATTTCATAAAAAAAATGGAATGAAACGGGAAGGGAATCATTCTTTGGCACATTCATTATATTTTTCAACTGGGCACATTTGCTGATTTCTGAATATTATTAATTTTGTGACATTGGTTACCGGTTGGGTATGTAAAACGCTTCTGTTGTGCATATCGTGTTGTATATGTTGTAACATCTCGGACCTGACTTCATGGTGAAGCTATCCGAGCTATGGGCATCTCTTGTCCACTGGCTGAGGATGTTGTAAGGTAATGGCATAGCAAAACCTTAAGAAACTTATAACTGTAAGTCTTAAAGTGATGGTTACCGTCAAAAGATTTAATGATCGCCAGAGAGGCAATAGTCTGTCTCACTGTCCATGAACCACAATATGTTCCCTACTGCCCAGCCCTCCCTGCAATGCTAAAGTTCTAAATGAAGCAAGTCTAGATTTCCTCGGGTTCGGGATCTCTGGTCAACCTGGGGCTCATTTTCAATTTAAATTGGTTTATTTGTTACAATCAAAATTATATATATTCAGAAACTAAGCGTGGGAATAGAAAGGCAAGGGCGACAGAATGCCTGCAGTTGGTGCCAGAACAAAGGGAATTGATGGAGAGACCTAACAAGAGATGGAAATTGGTCACGTGGGTCCGACAGAAGCAAAGTAAACCTATGTGAGTATAGATCATGGTGTTGCTATAGTCTTTGAATGCATGTGAGCCCGTACATGAATGTGGTGTTGGTAGTTTGGAGTTACGCTCGTCCGACCCTCGCCTCTTGACTTAGCGACCCTTATGACGACCCGTTCTTTGTTTCCTCTCTTGTCGTCCCCGCCCTTCCTTCGCCGTTTGACAGTACGGGCCATTTCGCAGTGGGTTGTCAGCAACTGACCACGTTTAAAAATCCCCATCGGACTTCAATATTTATAAATTCAACCCTAATGTGCAGTTACGACAATATCATGAACATATCATGAAGCAAGTCTCGAGCAAAACCACTAACACAATTGTACTAGCGCGTTACTGCAGACACGGTTCTCCACTGAAATATTTAGCCCAAGATAGTTCCTCTCTTACCTGTTGGACATCTGGAATATGGCCATCAGTGGACAAGCTTTGAATCAGCCTGGAAAAGCCAGGAAAACATTGTAATAATTCAGCAAGCAATACCCCTGCCGTACACCATGTTCCCACTGTAATCACTGGATTGTCTGACTCGAATATTTACACGCCGCCGCCGAATAGCTGATATAGTGCTGAGTTAAACAACAGAGAAACTAAGCTAAACAAAAGTGCGAGTGTGAGTTCGAATCACGGATGACATCCCCCCCCTCCCCCCGCCCATCCCCCAAAAAATGTAAAAACAATAATAATTAAATGAATACATAAATAAATAAAATATAAATAAATAGATAATAATTATACATAAATGAAATAAATAAATATATAATTAAATAAATTAAAATATTAATAAATGAAAAAAAAAAGATAAAGAAGATTAAAAAAAAACAAGGAAAAAAACAAAACAAAAAACATAACAAAACAAAAAAAACCCAATAAAACAAAACCAAAATTAAAACCCTCCAAACTCTCTATGATCTCTGGCTGGAATATTGCCGTCAAACCAACCAACCATGTTCCCAACAGCGCCAGGTCTGGTGGCACTGCCTGTGTGAGTCAGACACAGCAGCAGACGTCGCTGTATGGAGCTGTGCTTAGTGGCTGTGACACACTCAGACAACAGTTTGGAACACTGGACCGCAGATTGGATCTGAAATAGGATCATATACAGACTCGCCCTTAAAGAGCTTGCTGAGACATCCTTTCTTAAGGTAACTACCGTACCGATGTTTACTTATAGAAACGTTATTTGGTACATAACGTGTATTCACATTCGCTTGTAATAGCGGTATTTAACATGTATTCATAAGCGCAATGTTCATTAAAAGTGAGATTTTTTTTATTTTGCAGATATTAAATTTTAATATGTTTTGTTGTACTGCAGTTGTACTGCATATTACAGCCTAATCTACATGCTGAGCTGAACCGACACAACAATTTATCTGACGATCGAGCTAGCATGGAGGGGGTGGAGACGTGGGTGGGGGATGGTGATTATGCGCGGGACGAGTTAGGGAATATATATTAGTTGTTTTCATTGATGGTCGTTTTTAGACGACAGGGCTCGGCAAGAATTTCAGGTGAGATGAAGGCGACACTGTTCGCCTGCAGGTAAACACTGTATGGGGTTAGACGTGAGAGCCTGTTCAAATAGTTCACTATATTGTAGCCAGAGGGAAGGAGTGCTCGCGACTACTGTTACATGTGCCATGGAGTAAGTGTAGTGTACGCTGTGTAGTTTTAGATAATAGCATCATATTATTTGTATCGTTATGGCGAAGTTGTGTAACTGTAGACATTGTTACCATATCATTCTTCTGTAGACAATCTTACTATATTATTCGTCTGTAGACAATGTTACCATATTATTCGCCTGTAGACAATCTTACTATATTATTCGTCTGTAGCCAACGTTACCATTTCATTCGTCTGTAGACAATCTTACTATATTATTCGTCTGTAGACAATGTTACCATATTAATTCGTCTGTAGACAATGTTACCATATTATTTGTCTGTAGACAATGTTACCATATTACTTGCCTGTAGACAGTGTTACATTATTCGTCTGTAGACAATGTTACCTTATTCTTCGTAATGTCGTGGAGAAATTGTTTAGCGCCATACAATATTGTTATTCGTAATATCGTGGAGTTAGTTGTGTATCTCAAGACAATATGTGTGTAGCTCCAGATAATATGATGTTATTCGTAATATCGTGGAGTGGGTTGTGTATCTCAAGACACTATGTGTGTAGCTCCAGATAATGATGTTATTCGTAATATCGTGGTATGAGTTGTGTATCTCAAGACACTATGTGTGTAGCTCCAGATAATATCATGTTATTCGTAATGTCGTGGAGAAGGTGTTTAGCTTTAGACAAGACGATATTATCATGCTGTTCGTCATGTCGAGGACAAGGGGTGTTGCTCTGGATACTCAGGTTCTGTGCCCAGTGTGTAACATACCCGTAGACCAAATTACAACTAGCCTGGTCATCGCCCCACCTTGATGTACGGCAACCAGACCAGGTATTCATTAACGCACCCTGGACATAACGACCGCCTTGTATCGGACAGAACAGTTTAAAACTACACGTTAAGTTTTTCCAAGTTGTCATGGAGATTTATTCATGAGTTTTAAAATTACAGAAAATGCCGAAACGTCCTCTTTGGGAGTGTCCCCCGCTAATGATTGCATTTGACAATATGTCTGTTTCAACTGTATTACACCGTGTCACATCTCCTCATAGCGCTGCAATGGGACCGGCTGTATGTATATAACCTTTCCCTGAAATCTCCGGCCCGACCTTCGCCAATTTAAAACGTGGATTATAACTGTATATCGGCCAGTAGGGAAATAACGGTAGTTACACTCATAGCTGCGATGTATACATGACCTGCACGGAGGAACGCCGTTGGTAAGCTATCACTTGCACTGTACAAACAGTGACGGGTAACGGCGATTGTAATGTTAATATTGTCTATCTCCAGTGCTTCAACGTAGACTTACGACCGTTGTATGGCTCATATCTCCTTGTTGAATGACCCTAGTCTCGTCATTTTGCCATATGCATGTTTTTCTCTATCTATGTTGGATGTCTAGCTTTCATGTATATCATAAATGAAAAATTGAATAATATTTGAATTAGAAATTGATAAGTTTTTCTCTATCTTTGTTGGTTGTCTAGCTATCTGTATTATCATAAATGAAATTTGAATAATATTTGAAATAGAAAATGATAAATGTATTGTGTGATGTTATTCTATATGTTAGTATATGTACGGAGAGAAGTCGCAGTAGCAAGGCCAATTGTATAATGTATCAATGCTTCTCTAAGTTAAAAGTTACACAGTTAGACGATTGTTTGTTAGCGTACGAGCTCTCACACTTCATGTTTCTGCTCGGTTTGCAAGAAAAGGTTTTGGAGAAGCTTGGATACTGGGTTTTTCGTGTATATCACGTGTAAACATTTGTAAACAATTGGGGGTATTACGGCAGTGAATAATAGATATATGACAGCAACACAACCAGCGAACAATAGATATATGACAGCAACACAATCAGGGAACAATGATGGTATTACAGCAGTGAACAATAGATATAGGACTGCAACACAATCAGGGAACAATGATGGTATTACGGCAGTGAACAATAGATATATGACAGCAGCACAATCAGTGAACAATGATGGTATTACGGCAGTGAACAATAGATATATGACAACAACACAATCAGGGAACAATGATGGTATTACAGCAGTGAACAATAGATATAGGACTGCAACACAATCAGGGAACAATGATGGTATTACAGCAGTGAACAATAGATATATGACAGCAACACAATCAGGGAACAATGATGGTATTACGGCAGTGAACAATAGATATATGACAGCAACACAACCAGGGAACAATGATGGTATTACGGCAGTGAACAATAGATATATGACAGCAACACAACCAGGGAACAATGGGGGTATTACGGCAGTGAACAATAGATATATGACAGCAACACAACCAGGGAACAATGGGGGTATTACTGCAGTGAACAATAGATATATGACAACAACACAATCAGGGAACAATGGGGGTATTACTGCAGTGAACAATAGATATATGACAGCAACACAACCAGGGAACAATGGGGGTATTACGGCAGTGAACAATAGATATATGACAGCAACACAACCAGGGAACAATGGGGGTATTACTGCAGTGAACAATAGATATATGACAGCAACACAACCAGGGAACAATGGGGGTATTACGGCAGTGAACAATAGATATATGACAGCAACACAACCAGGGAACAATGGGGTATTACTGCAGTGAACAATAGATATATGACAACAACACAACCAGGGAACAATGGGGGTATTACGGCAGTGAACAATAGATAAATGACAGCAACACAACCAGGGAACAATGGGGGTATTACTGCAGTGAACAATAGATATAGGACTGCAACACAACCAGGGAACAATGGGGGTATTACTGCAGTGAACAATAGATATATGACAGCAACAAAATCAGTGAACAATAGATATATGACAGCAACACAGCCAGGGAACAATGGGGGTATTACGGCAGTGAACAATAGATATATGACAGCAACACAACCAGGGAACAATGGGGTATTACTGCAGTGAACAATAGATATATGACAAACACAACCAGGGAACAATGGGGTATTACGGCAGTGAACAATAGATATATGAACAATAGATATATGACAACACACAATCAGGAACAATGGGGTATTACGGCAGTGAACAATAGATATATGACAGCAACACAACCAGGAACAATGGTGGTATTACTGCAGTGAACAATAGATATATGACAGCAACACAACCAGGGAACAATGGGGGTATTACGGCAGTGAACAATAGATATATGACAACAACACAACCAGGGAACAATGGGGGTATTACGGCAGTGAACAATAGATATATGACATCAACACAATCAGGGAACAATGGGGTATTACGGCAGTGAACAATAGATATATGACAGCAACACAATCAGGGAACAATGATGGTATTACGGCAGTGAACAATAGATATATGACAGCAACACAACCAGGGAACAATGGGGGTATTACAGCAGTGAACAATAGATATATGACAGCAACACAACCAGGGAACAATGGGGTATTACGGCAGTGAACAATAGATATATGACAGCAACACAATCAGGGAACAATGATGGTATTACTGCAGTGAACAATAGATATATGACAGCAACACAACCAGGGAACAATGATGGTATTACTGCAGTGAACAATAGATATATGACAGCAACACAACCAGGGAACAATGGGGGTATTACAGCAGTGAACAATAGATATATGACAGCAACACAATCAGGGAACAATGATGGTATTACGGCAGTGAACAATAGATATATGACAGCAACACAACCAGGGAACAATGGGGGGTATTACACCACAGCAACACAACCAGGGAACAATGATGGTATTACGGCAGTGAACAATAGATATATGACAACAACACAATCAGGGAACAATGGGGGTATTACAGCAGTGAACAATAGATATATGACAGCAACAAAATCAGTGAACAATAGATATATGACAGCAACACAGCCAGGGAAGAATGGGGGTATTATGGCTGTGAACAATATATATATGACAGCAACACAATAAGGGAACAATAGATATATGACAGCAACACAATAAAGGAAAAATGGGGGTATTACGGCTTTGAACAATAGATATATGACAGCAACACAATAAGGAAACAATACAGGTATTACAGCCCCCAGTGAACGCTTGTGGCGTAACAGCGATATTACACGGGGAACACTAGATATATGACAGTGAGTTGATGGTTGTGTCGGGCTCTTTGTGGTTGAAAGAATGCATGGAGTGAGTGATTATTTTCATTATTTGATTGACTCCAAGCATGGTCTTTAAGTACGGGGTGTCTTTTATTCATGATCTGTGCAACGCTCGGTTAATGTCATTCTTTGTCTGCTTTGTCCAAGTCTCCCCCCACTGCATGGCAATTACTGACATAATGCCACGTCACAGACACAAACAGCTGATAATAACCATCGATTAAAACAGCTGGCATCCCGGATAAAGTTCGTTGTTATCAACTTGCTGTATTTCAAGAAGATGGTTCTGGTGTCCCCCGCCGTGATATAGCTGGAATATTGTTAAAAGCGGCGTAAAACTGAATTCACTCACTCACTCAAGAAGAGGTTTTATTGTTCTAAGACCCCCTGTGACCCCAGTGTTATTGCTTTAATAGCTCCTATGTTCCCCAGTTTTATTGTTCTAATACATCCTATGTTCCCCAGTGAGATATTGTAATAATACCTCCTGTGTTCCCCAGTGTTATTGCTTTAATAGCGCCTATGTTCCCCAGTTTTATTGTTCTAATACATCCTAGTAAGATATTGTAATAATACCTCCTGTGTTCCCCATTGTTATTGCTTTAATAGCTCCTATGTTCCCCAGTTTTATTGTTCTAATACATCCTATGTTCCCCAGTGAGATATTGTTATAATACCTCCTGTGTTCCCCAGTTTTATTGTTCTAATACAGCTTATGTTCCCCAGTGAGATATTGTTATAATACCTCCTGTGATCCCCAGTGTTATTGCTCTAATACATCTTATGTTCCCCAGTTTTATTTTTCTAATACATCTTGTGTTCCCCAGTTAGAGACCGCCTCCGTGGTGTAGTGGTTAGAGCGGAGAGCCCGGAGAGCTGAAGGTCGCGGGTTCGATCCCCGGTCGCGTCATACCAAAAGACGTTAAAATATGGTACTTGTTATTCCCTGTCTGGCGCTCGGCATTAATGGGTACAACAAGGACTGGTCGGCTCGGAGTCAGTATAATGTGTCTGGGTGGGGTATTCATGCTTCACTGCGGCATGGTATCTCAGTGGGCTAGCACTATGAAACCAGCTTAAGTCTGGGCTAGTACAAGCAGCCGCACATACACATATACACGCATGCACGTCGTCATATGAGCGAAATATTCTCAAGTACGACGTAAAACCCAATTTCACCTCACCTCACCCAGTTAGATATTGTTATAATACCTCCTGTGACCCCAATGTTATTGCTTTAATACATCTTATGTTCCCCAGTATTATTTTTCTACTACATCTTGTGTTCCCCAGTGAGATATTGTTATAATACCTCCTGTGTTCCCCAGTGTTATTGCTCTAATACATCTTATGTTCCCCAGTATTATTTTTCTAATACATCTTGTGTTCCCCAGTGAGATATTGTTATAATACCTCCTGTGTTCCCCAGTGTTATTGCTTTAATACATCTTATGTTCCCCAGTATTATTTTTCTACTACACCTTGTGTTCCCCAGTGAGATATTGTTATAATACCTCCTGTGTTCCCCAGTGTAATTGCTCTAATACATCTTATATTCCCCAGTATTATTTTTCTACTACACCTTGTGTTCCCCAGTGAGATATTGTTATAATACATCCTGTGTTCCCCAGTGTTATTGCTTTAATACATCTTATGTTCCCCAGTATTATTTTTCTACTACATCTTGTGTTCCCCAGTGAGATATTGTTATCATACCTCCTGTGACCCCAGTGTTATTGCTTTAATACATCTTATGTTCCCCAGTATTATTTTTCTAATACATCTTGTGTTCCCCAGTGAGATATTGTTATAATACATCCTGTGTTCCCCAGTGTTATTGCTCTAATACATTTTATGTTCCCCAGTATTATTTTTCTAATACATCTTGTGTTCCCCAGTGAGATATTGTTATAATACCTCCTGTGTTCCCCAGTGTTATTGCTCTAACACATCTTATGTTCCCCAGTATTATTTTTCTACTACACCTTATGTTCCCCAGTGAGATATTGTTATAATACCTCCTGTGTTCCCCAGTGTTATTGCTCTAATACATCTTATGTTCCCCAGTATTATTTTTCTACTACACCTTGTGTTCCCCAGTGAGATATTGTTATAATACATCCTGTGTTCCCCAGTGTTATTGCTTTAATACATCTTATGTTCCCCAGTATTATTTTTCTACTACATCTTGTGTTCCCCAGTGAGATATTGTTATAATACCTCCTGTGTTCCCCAGTGTTATTGCTTTAATACATCTTATGTTCCCCAGTATTATTTTTCTACTACACCTTGTGTTCCCCAGTGAGATATTGTTATAATACCTCCTGTGTTCCCCAGTTTTATTGTTCTAATACAGCTTATGTTCCCCAGTGAGATATTGTTATAATACCTCCTGTGATCCCCAGTGTTATTGCTCTAATACATCTTATGTTCCCCAGTTTTATTTTTCTAATACATCTTGTGTTCCCCAGTAAGAGACCGCCTCCGTGGTGTAGTGGTTAGAGCGGAGAGCCCGGAGAGCGGAAGGTCGCGGGTTCGATCCCCGGTCGCGTCATACCAAAAGACGTTAAAATATGGTACTTGTTGGTCCCTGTCTGGCGCTCGGCATTAATGGGTACAACAAGGACTGGTCGGCTCGGAGTCAGTATAATGTGTCTGGGTGGGGTATTCATGCTTCACTGCGGCATGGTATCTCAGTGGGCTAGCACTATGAAACCAGCTTAAGTCTGGGCTAGTACAAGCAGCCGCACATACACATATACACGCATGCACGTCGTCATATGAGCGAAATATTCTCAAGTACGACGTAAAACCCAATTTCACCTCACCTCACCCAGTTAATTATTGTTATAATACCTCCTGTGACCCCAGTGTTATTGCTTTAATACATCTTATGTTCCCCAGTATTATTTTTCTACTACACCTTGTGTTCCCCAGTGAGATATTGTTATAATACCTCCTGTGTTCCCCAGTGTTATTGCTCTAATACATCTTATGTTCCCCAGTATTATTTTTCTACTACACCTTGTGTTCCCCAGTGAGATATTGTTATAATACATCCTGTGTTCCCCAGTGTTATTGCTCTAATACATCTTATGTTCCCCAGTATTATTTTTCTAATACATCTTGTGTTCCCCAGTGAGATATTGTTATAATACCTCCTGTGTTCCCCAGTGTTATTGCTTTAATACATCTTATGTTCCCCAGTATTATTTTTCTACTACACCTTGTGTTCCCCAGTGAGATATTGTTATAATACCTCCTGTGTTCCCCAGTGTTATTGCTCTAATACATCTTATATTCCCCAGTATTATTTTTCTACTACACCTTGTGTTCCCCAGTGAGATATTGTTATAATACCTCCTGTGTTCCCAGTGTTATTGCTTTAATACATCTTATGTTCCCCAGTATTATTTTTCTAATACATCTTGTGTTCCCCAGTGAGATATTGTTATAATACCTCCTGTGATCCCAGTGTTATTGCTTTAATACATCTTATGTTCCCCAGTATTATTTTTCTAATACATCTTGTGTTCCCCAGTGAGATATTGTTATAATACATCCTGTGTTCCCCAGTGTTATTGCTCTAATACATCTTATGTTCCCCAGTATTATTTTTCTAATACATCTTGTGTTCCCCAGTGAGATATTGTTATAATACCTCCTGTGTTCCCCAGTGTTATTGCTCTAATACATCTTATGTTCCCCAGTATTATTTTTCTACTACACCTTGTGTTCCCCAGTGAGATATTGTTATAATACATCCTGTGTTCCCCAGTGTTATTGCTCTAATACATCTTATGTTCCCCAGTTTTATTGTTCTAATACATCTTGTGTTCCCCAGTGAGATATTGTTATAATACCTCCTGTGTTCCCCAGTGTTATTGCTCTAATACATCTTATGTTCCCCAGTTTTATTGTTCTAATACATCTTGTGTTCCCCAGTGCCTTACTGAGACATTGTTATAATACCTCCTGTGTTCCCCAGTATGATACGGCTATTATACCATCACTGTTTCGTGTTGCAGATCTTCCCTATACTACAGACCCGTCATGGCCAATGAGAGGACGGCGATCAATCCACCGACAGTACGTAAATGCATTACATTACATGTGCATGACATGGGCTCAGAAGCATGAACTACTGTTCATGAAGGTTTTCTTGAATTGTTTCAGCTTTATGTCTGTAGGCGGTGGGGTAACCTAGTGGTTAAAAGGTTTTCTCGCTGAAGACCCGGGTTCAATTCCCCACATGGGTACATTGTGTGAAGCCCATTTCCAGTGTATATGTATTCACGGATGATGGGTGAACGTAGGGTACATGTATACAAAACCGTCAATACAAACGATGAGTTCAAACTATGTGTCCTGTTGCTTGGCAACAAGATGCCAGGGTAACATCAAGTACCAAACCGTAACGTATTTTAGAATGTCGGTGTACATGTATACACGGAATATGGATAAACGTAGGGTACATGTATAGAAAACCGTGAAGTATAAACGATGTGTTCACAACTCTATATTCTGTTGCCTCCCCAGAAAGATGGCCAGGAGTTGTTGAACAGCAACGCCTACGTCACCAAGAAGACAGCAGCGCAAGGGATGCTGGACATCGCTCTGTTAATGGCGAACGCATCACAGCTCAACACCTTGTTCCGGATACCGTCGGAGCAGCGAAATGGCATGCACTACACAATGATCGTCTTCATCTTCCTGTCCGTCATACTTCAGACCGTCGCCGGGATGTTCATTGTCATCTTGGGATTCAGGCGCATGCGCACTGAGAGAGAGCGTAGAACATCGGAAGTGTTCAATAACATTGTTGTGGTCCTGATATTTTTCATAACAATCATCAACATATTTGTCAATGCGTTTGATATCAATATGAAACAATGATAATGTCGACAGAGAGACTGGCGTTACTGAACACCAGCAAGTCCTCGCCGATGTGTGCCGATGATTGCCGATTGTCTGGCGCAGACTCATGATGCTACTTCCGGCTGTTCACTTGGCTCAGTTACTGCTGACACATTTGTACATTGGTTCTATTTAAATATATGCTACTCAACATCTAATAGAGATACTGAGATGTTATATTGCGCAGAAACATAACTACCTTTTACGAGATCAAATAAACCTATTTCTTTGGCCCTTTTTGAGACCACAAACTAAAAAAGCTCAATGCATCACTAAGTGATTGGTCATGTCAGAAAGAGCAAAAAGCAGTAGCTCTTGTAAGTGATTTTAGTTTTAACGCTGCTTGGAACTGTTTTGCAGTTGTATCATGGCGTGTCACTTTCACGTGGTAGGAGTGAGTTTAGTTTTACGCCGCTATTAGCAATATTCCAACAATATCCACACATTGTACTTACGTGGGGAATCGAACCCGGGTCGTCGGCGTGACGAGCGAACGCCTTAACCCCACCGCCCCTCTGGACCCGCCCCTGAAAGATGTTTCCTTGTGATTAGAACCAACGATCAGAAGATCCTTCTGCACAACTCTGCAATGGGATTAGCCGGACAATAGACGACAGGATGTGCCCTGAATAGTTTGAAGTGCAATGTACGTGTTTATTTTCTACTGGTTCTGTAGTATGGAATATGGACAAAAACATTCCTATCCTTTGGAGATGCGGTGGGGTAGCCGAATGGTTAAAGCGTCCGCTCGTCACGCTGAAGACCCGGGTTCGATTCCCCACATGGGTACAATTTGTGAAGTCCATTTCTGGTGTCCCCCGCCGTGATATTGCTGGAATATTGCTGAAAGCGGCGTAAAACCAAACTCACTCACTCACTCACTTACTCCTATGCTTTGGGCTATATTTTATTCTCATAATGGTACTTGTAATCAGTAGCATGTACAAAATGTCCGAGGCGTTCTTGTGGAATCTTTTGAGTCAGAACTCTGCCACATAAGACATTTCTGTCACATAAACTCTTGCTTACGACATTGTCGTAATCGTGAAATGGACTCTCCTTTTGAGAAGGGCTTTTGTGGTTGTTATTTCACTGATGAGAAATCTTTGCGTTGATCAGATAGACTGGCATACCTATGTTGTATTTATGATTATTTATTCGTGTATTTATGTTTAAACTTTAATATTTATGGCTGTGTCTTTAAACGCTTTGTTATAAACAGTATATAGACACTGATGGGCAACTGAAACTGAGTGAGTGAGTGAGTGAGGTGGGTTTTACAGTGCTTTTAGCAATATGCCCGCAATATCACGGCGGGAAGCACCAGGAAATGGGCTTCACACATTGTACCCATGTGGGGAATCAAACCCAGACCTTTGGGCAAACGCTTTAACCACTGGGCTACCCCACCGCCCCCAAATGAAACTGAACTTGAATTGATACACAGAAAGGGGGAAACATTATGGATGCCAGGTTCTGAATAACGAGGTTCTGAATAACGAGGTTCAGAATATACGGGTGCTGTGGTAGCTTTGTGGTTAAAACGTTCGCTCGTCACGCCGAAGACCCGGGTTCGATTCCAACCTGGTACAATGTGTGAAACCCATTTCTGGTGTCTCCATCTTGATATTACTGGAATATTGCTAAAAGCGTCGTATAACTATACTCACTCACCCAGTATTTATCCGATGAAGTTGCAAGATACAGTACTTAAACGGCTTTTCAAAAAATATATTGAAGTTGTTATCAATAAAACGTTTCATTTTATCCCATTTGATTAATTCACCGACTACACGTGAAGATCCGGGTTAGAATTGGTCTTCAGCAATCCATACTTGTAAGCGGCGACTAACGGGATCCGATGCTCAAGGTCTCTGACTTGGTTGATTCGTGTCATCGTGTCCCAAAATAATAAATGTCTTTCCACTGAAATAAAAATAAAAATAAAGAAAAATAAATAAATAAATAAATAAATAAATAAATAAATAAATAAATAAATAAATAAATAAATAAATAAATAAATAAATACAAGGTGCCGAGAACAATAAATAAATAAATAAATAAATAAATAAATAAATAAATAATGCTGAGAACAATTCCTAATTTTTAGCGTCTGTAAGAGAACTATGGCTGTTGATAACTCCAAGCCTGTCGTCTGCTTAAGGCACACGCCGTCGCCTGCTGTGGGCGACAAACACCGACCGTGTTGTAATTGTCTCACCACGGCGCTAGCAGTGTGCGACCTTTAGAGTGAGTGAATGAGATGAGGTTTAACTACTCCGTTAACAGTAATCCAGCAGAGATCCGCGTGCTACATTGATTGAATGAGTTTATTTTCTGTAGGTAGGCCATCGGCCCATGTACAATCATATGATACAAAATTTCATTTTTGACAAGGCAATATAGAAGTTATTCATTATTTACACACATTTGATCTGATCACGAGGGCATGCGTAATAAACTGCACAGTTTTTAGAAGAATACTGATATCATTACATTCCATTAATTTTTTAAACTTGATGATTTGGACATTGATCAAACTTTGGTAAATATATACTTTATAACATTATATAAGCCTCACAGACAAAAGGAAAATGTAATTCATCTTTGGGATGTTATTGTTACACATTGTACATATTGTTGAGACATAATTATCATCTCTACGTCTTACATTACACAGAAGAGGTGGGTAATGAACTCTATATTGATTAAAATGTACATTTGAAATATAAATCTCTACATCTAATAAAGATTTAATGGTCTTGTAAGCTAATGGTCTTGTATGCGATGATTCAACCGTAAATGTTGTTGTTTTTAGGCGTCTGCGAACTGCCTGTCTGCGTAATGGGAGGACACCGATTCATTAATTCTACTCAATATGCTTTGCCCCTATTTCATCAATAAGCCTTTGCTTAAACATGGATATAAAACATCATGACTAAACCACCCACATCATAACCCGTTGTGTTTAACAAACTTTTTACATTATCTACAAGCTGAGTCGAGATTTTTCATGAAAATATGACATTGTTTAGGATACCTGTCTTCAGACATATGAAGTAATATACACCAGTAACGTACACATTTAACATAATAATCAACACTTATACAATATCTACCACAATCTGCTAATATAGCATTGCTAGAAATATGTTTACCTACGCCAAGAACATATTTACAGAAATGTGTATGAAATTTGTTAATTTAACTGTCGCTATTGATAACCTTCACTTTGGGATCAAAGAGCTTAAAAAGAATATTAACTGGAATATTTGGATACTTGTAGATTAACTTCCTAATAGAAAATAAGGCCTTGTTTGCTTTGGTCGACAGCGTCTCTGTATATTTAGTCCATGACAGACGTGTAGAGAAGAGTATTCCAAGATAGTTGTAGTATGTAGAAGTTTTTAACTGTCATTTTTCATAGTGACGTAATCTAACTCCGGTTCGAAAAACCAATATCTCTGTTATCCATGTTAAATTGTAATCCCCACATTGTACAGTAGTCGTTCAGAATGTCAATTTTCTCTTTGCAGTCCAACAACAGAGTCATCGAAAACACATAAATCGTCATTATTTTAATTCTGATATAAACATCGTGAACAAAATGGGGCTCAAGACACATCCTTGTCTAACTCCGCTAAGACAGTCAAAGTATTCAGAGATTGAGGTGTTGGTTATTCGGACAGCAGAAATGATTTAGGAGTACATATTCTTTAGCAGATTAAGAATTCGTCCATGAATATCATTCTTTAATAGTGAATACCAGAGACGTTTTCTATTTATAGAATCAAAGTCCACAAATAAACAATAAAATCGTCCCCCTCGCCTTGATAGGTATTTCTGTTTAAAACATTGTAACGTAAAAAATATTATCAGTTGTGTTGTAGTGTTTCCTAAAGCCTGCTTGAGCTTCAGAAATCTTGTCATAAAGTGCTGCAAATGTTTGTAGACGGTTGTTTAGAATGGAACAAAATATCTTTCCGAAAATGTCCACGAGTGAGATACCTCTGTAGTTGTTGACTGAGTTAATGTCGCCTTTCTTGTGGAGTAGTACGATTAATCCCTTGGCCCATTCAATGTATTATATACAATGACTAGATATGGACTTAAAAGATCAGCACATGACTTCACCATATCTGCTTTAATATCGTCCGGACCAGCTGCTTTACCCGAGTTCATGTATTTTATGGCTGATTCAACTTCTTGGAGCGATGCATGATGTCATTATCACTACACCATATTGCACGTAGATCCACAGAGGTTGTCTAATGCATGGTCAGCTTCTCTACAGTCTGTAGTTTTGATTCATCCACTGTATTGTCTGTAAAGTTAAAAGTGTCTTTAAAATAATCACTCCACTGTTCCTGATTTATTTGTGGTGTGCTTTTCCTGCTGCTTGTCATCTTATTTAGGTTTTGCCAGAATACTTTGCTGTCCTTGGAACTGTCCACTGAATTGTGAATTTGGAACTCTTCGTATTTTCTCTTCTTCTCTCTGCATAAATATCTGTAATTATTTCTTGCATGAACACATTCCTTTAATAACTCTTTTCTTCTAGTTAGTCTAAAATTGTCTAATAATTTGAATTTCTGTGATTTCAGGTTTTCTCATTCTCTGTCATACCATACAGTAGAGTTATGGGAGTTATCAAACTTTTGTCTCCTTTCCAAACCACACAACACAGCAGTGCTTTGAAGAATGTAAGTGAGGTTACCAACTATAATGTCGATGTTGTCGCTAGCTTGAATACGGAAAGCATCCACGCTCACTTGAGTCGTAGATAAAGATATACAATTCTTGAATGTTCCAATGTCAGTTTCATATCCGGGAAAACTGTTTCCGTTATTAGCCTCATCATTTGTAAGAGAAATATTCATCCCCTTGAACTCCACAAAGGAAAAATGATCTGATTCACATCGGGTACACACTGAGAAATCTAGGACTTTTTCAAAAACAGGCTTGATGAACATAAGATATAACCGACTAACTAGCTCCGTGCTCTTTAAAACGAGTGAATGCGCCATTACGATCTCCCTTGAATCTTCCATTCAGTATATGAATTCCAAATGTTCAACACATGCCAATCAACTCCTTCCCGTAATCATTTACTACCTCATCTTGTGTTCTGCATTGTTTATCGAATGTATCAACATCATAGTCAACCGCCTCCGTGGTGTAGTGGTTAGAGCGTCCGCCCGGAGAGGTCGCGGGTTCGATCCCCAACCGCGTCATACCAAAAGACGTTAAAATATGGTACTTGTTGGTCCCTGCCTGGCGCTCGGCATTAATGGGTAC